ATGCTATAACGGTGAAGCTTATAATAATGCTATAACAGTGAACCTTATAATAATGTTATAACGGTGAACCTTATAATAATGCTATTGCAGTGAACCTTATAATAATGCTATAACAGTGAACCTTATAATAATGCTATTGCAGTGAACCTTATAATAATGCTATAACAGTGAAGCTTATAATAATGCTATTTCAGTGAACCTTATAATAATGCTATAACGGTGAACCTTATAATAATGCTATAACGGTGAACCTTATAATAATGCTATAACGGTGAAGCTTATAATAATGCTATTGCAGTGAACCTTATAATAATGCTATAACAGTGAACCTTATAATAATGCTATTGCAGTGAACCTTATAATAATGCTATTGCAGTGAACCTTATAATAATGCTATAACGGTGAACCTTATAATAATGCTATAACGGTGAAGCTTATAATAATGCTATAACAGTGAACCTTATAATAATGTTATAACGGTGAACCTTATAATAATGCTATTGCAGTGAACCTTATAATAATGCTATAACAGTGAACCTTATAATAATGCTATTGCAGTGAACCTTATAATAATGCTATTGCAGTGAACCTTATAATAATGCTATAACGGTGAACCTTATAATAATGCTATAACGGTGAAGCTTATAATAATGATATAACGATGAACCTTATAATAATGCTATAACAGTGAACCTTATAATAATGTTATAACGGTGAACCTTATAATAATGCTATTGCAGTGAACCTTATAATAATGCTATAACAGTGAACCTTATAATAATGCTATTGCAGTGAACCTTATAATAATGCTATTGCAGTGAACCTTATAATAATGCTATAACAATAAACCTTTTAATAATGCTATAACGGTGAAGCGTATAATAATAATATAACGAAGAACCTTATAATAATGCTATAACAGTGAACCTTATAATAATGCTATAACAGTGAACCTTATAATAATGCTATAACGGTGAAGCTTATAATAATGCTATTGCAGTGAACCTTATAATAATGCTATAACAGTGAACCTTATAATAATGCTATAACAGTGAACCTTATAATAATGCTATAACAGTGAACCTTATAATAATGCTATAACGGTGAAGCTTATAATAATGCTATAACGGTGAACCTTATGATAATGCTATAACAGTGAACCTTATAATAATGCTATAACGGTGAAGCTTATAATAATGCTCTTGCAGTGAACCTTATAATAATGCTATTGCAGTGAACCTTATAATAATGCTATTGCAGTGAACCTTATAATAATGCTATAACGGTGAACCTTATAATAATGCTATAACGGTGAAGCTTATAATAATGCTATTGCAGTGAACCTTATAATAATGCTATTGCAGTGAACCTTATAATAATGCTATAACGGTGAACCTTATAATAATGCTATAACGGTGAACCTTATAATAATGCTATAACGGTGAACCTTATAATAATGCTATAACAGTGAACCTTATAATAATGCTATAACGGTGAAGCTTATAATAATACTATTGCAGTGAACCTTATAATAATGCTATAACGATGAACCTTATAATAATGCTATAACAGTGAACCTTATAATAATGCTATAACGGTGAACCTTATAATAATGCTATAACGGTGAACCTTATAATAATGCTATAACAGTGAACCTTATAATAATACTATTGCAGTGAACCTTATAATAATACTATTGCAGTGAACCTTATAATAATGCTATAACGATGAACCTTATAATAATGCTATAACAGTGAACCTTATAATAATGCTATAACAGTGAACCTTATAATAATGCTATAACGGTGAACCTTATAATAATGCTATAACAGTGAACCTTATAATAATGCTATAACGGTGAACCTTATAATAATGTTATAACAGTGAACCTTATAATAATTCTATAACGGTGAACCTTATAATAATGCTATAACGGTGAACCTTGTAATAATGATACAACGGTGAACCTTATAATAATGCTATAACGATGAACCTTATAATAATGCTATTGCAGTGAACCTTATAAAGTTATAATAATGCTATAACGGTGAACCTTATAATAATGCTATAACGATGAACCTTATAATAATGCTATTGCAGTGAACCTTATAATAATGCTATAACGGTGAACCTTATAATAATGCTATAACAGTGAACCTTACAATAATACTATTGCAGTGAACCTTATAATAATGCTATAACGATGAACCTTATAATAATGCTATAACAGTGAAGCTTATAATAATACTATAACAGTGAACCTTATAATAATGCTATAACAGTGAACCTTATAATAATGCTATAACGGTGAACCTTATAATAATGTTATAACAGTGAACCTTATAATAATGCTATAACGGTGAACCTTATAATAATGCTATAACGGTGAACCTTGTAATAATGATACAACGGTGAACCTTATAATAATGCTATAACGATGAACCTTATAATAATGCTATTGCAGTGAACCTTATAAAGTTATAATAATGCTATAACGGTGAACCTTATAATAATGCTATAACGATGAACCTTATAATAATGCTATAACAGTGAAGCTTATAATAATACTATAACAGTGAACCTTATAATAATGCTATAACAGTGAACCTTATAATAATGCAATAACGGTGAACCTTATAATAATGATATAACGGTGAAGCTTATAATAATGCTATAACAGTGAACCTTATAATAATGCTATAACGTTGAACCTTGTAATAATGATACAACGGTGAACCTTATAACAATGTTATAACAGTGAACCTTATAATAATGCTATAACGGTGAACCTTATAATAATGCTATAACGGTGAACCTTGTAATAATGATACAACGGTGAACCTTATAATAATGCTATAACGATGAACCTTATAATAATGCTATTGCAGTGAACCTTATAAAGTTATAATAATGCTATAACGGTGAACCTTGTAATAATGATACAACGGTGAACCTTATAATAATGTTATAACAGTGAACCTTATAATAATGCTATAACGGTGAACCTTATAATAATGCTATAACGGTGAACCTTGTAATAATGATACAACGGTGAACCTTATAATAATGCTATAACGATGAACCTTATAATAATGCTATTGCAGTGAACCTTATAAAGTTATAATAATGCTATAACGGTGAACCTTATAATAATGCTATAACGGTGAACCTTATAATAATGCTATTGCAGTGAAGCTTATAATAATGATATAACAGTGAACCTTATAATAATGTTATAACGGTGAACCTTATAATAATGCTATTGCAGTGAACCTTATAATAATGCTATAACGGTGAACCTTATAATAATGCTATTGCAGTGAAGCTTATAATAATGATATAACAGTGAACCTTATAATAATGTTATAACGGTGAACCTTATAATAATGCTATTGCAGTGAACCTTATAATAATGCTATAACGATGAACCTTATAATAATGCTATTGCAGTGAACCTTATAAAGTTATAATAATGCTATAACGGTGAACCTTATAATAAAGCTATAACGGTGAACCTTATAATAATGCTATTGCAGTGAAGCTTATAATAATGATATAACAGTGAACCTTATAATAATGCTATAACGGTGAACCTTATAATAATGCTATTGCAGTGAACCTTATAATAATGCTATAACGGTGAACCTTATAATAATGCTATAACAGTGAAGCTTATAATAATGCTATTGCAGTGAACCTTATAATAATGCTATAATAGTGAACATTATAATAATGCTATTGCAGTGAACCTTATAAAGTTATAATAATGCTATAACAGTGAACCTTATAATAATGCTATTGCAGTGAACCTTATAATAATGCTATTGCAGTGAACCTTATAATAATGCTATTGCAGTGAACCTTATAATAATGCTATAACGGCGAACCGTATAATAATGCTATTGCAGTGAACCTTATAATAATGCTATTGCAGTGAAACTTATAATAATGCTATTGCAGTGTACCTTATAATAATGCTATAACGGCGAACCGTATAATAATGTTATAACGGTGAACCTTATGATAATGCTATAACAGTGAACCTTATAATAATGCTATAACAGTGAACCTTATGATAATGCTATAACGGTGAACCTTATAATAATGCTATAACGGTGAACCTTATGATAATGCTATAACAGTGAACCTTATAATAATGCTATAACAGTGAACCTTATAATAATGATATAACGGTGAACCTTATAATAATGCTATAACAGTGAACCTTATAATAATGCTATAACGGTGAACCTTATAATAATGCTATAACGGTGAACCTTATAATAATGCTATAACAGTGAACCTTATGATAATGCTATAACAGTGAACCTTATAATAATGCTATAACGATGAACCTTATAATAATGCTATAACAGTGAACCTTATAATAATGTTATAACAGTGAACCTTATAATAATGTTATAACGGTGAACCTTATAATAATGCTATAACAGTGAACCTTATAATAATGCTATAACAGTGAAGCTTATAATAATGCTATTGCAGTGAACCTTATAATAATGCTATTGCAGTGAACCTTATAATAATGCTATTGCAGTGAACCTTATAATAATGCTATAACGGCGAACCGTATAATAATGCTATTGCAGTGAACCTTATAATAATGCTATTGCAGTGAACCTTATAATAATGCTATTGCAGTGAACCTTATAATAATGCTATAACGGCGAACCGTATAATAATGTTATAACGGTGAACCTTATGATAATGCTATAACAGTGAACCTTATAATAATGCTATAACAGTGAACCTTATGATAATGCTATAACGGTGAACCTTATAATAATGCTATAACGGTGAACCTTATGATAATGCTATAACAGTGAACCTTATAATAATGCTATAACAGTGAACCTTATAATAATGATATAACGGTGAACCTTATAATAATGCTATAACGGTGATCCTTATAATGATGCTATTGCAGTGAACCTTATAATAATGCGATTGCAGTGAACCTTATAATAATGCTATTTCAGTGAACACTGGGAAAGATTTCTCAAACGTGGGATATCTGATAGTAAAGCTGATCAGAGCAACCAACCTGCCCAGTAAGAAGATTGGGTCCATGGATCCGTACGTTGTCATGGAGATAGAGAACTGTAGGTCTATTTCACCGGTCAGGGAGGATTGCCTGGAACCCGAATGGAAATTAACATACAGGTACACAATTATCATACACAGGTTTATGATACAGGTATACAATCTCATGCCTTTGATTAATATCATGGTTGAGAGTGTTTAGTTTTTTGGGATATTATGTTACTTACACAATAGATATTTCAAATGGCAACATTCAAAGAACCGACGTATCCTATCACCTCCACCACCCCTAGGTTCCCAATAAACGACTACCACAGTGTGCTCCACCTCTCCCTGTGTTATATTATCATATATTATGTTATATTATGTTATATTATGTTATATTATGTCATATTATGTTATATTATGTTATATTATACATTTATCACATGCCTTCTCATGCGATATCAAAACTTTCGCCCACGAGGCTTGCCGAGTTAGCGAAAGTTTCGATATTTCCCGAGGCTTGCCGAGGGTTATATCGACATTTTCAATCACGAGGCTTGCCGAGTTTTGAAAATGTTGATATCGCATGAGAAGGCATGTGATTAATGTTTTATCACACTTTTTTTGGAGCCAAATTTGGCCGGGAAAGCAGAATTTGATCAAACGTTAGTTATAAATCTCACCAAAGCAAAACTAGACATGTCGAACTTATTTATGTTTATAATGTCCAAGCTATATATAGCTCTCGATAAGTTAGTATTTCAGATATTAAAGATACAATACGTGAAATTAGAATCTCGCGTTTCACATTTATGACACAGTGAATGCTGTATGCCGCGCCCAATTTGCTTTCTATTGATACGTAGTGCATGCGATATTAATGTGTTTTCCGCCTATGGGTCTTGTACTTATGTGTCTAGAATATTCCGCCGCGAGCGCGTTTGATACGTAATTACATCCTGCAAATCAATTGATGTGAGGTGATTCTAATACTTTATTTCTATTAGATATTTTTAGAGTCATTAAAACTGTAGATGCAATATAATGTATAGAACATCCGTTTAAGTGTTGATTATACATCACAGTCCTTATCGTATAATCTGTATCTGCGATAAGGTGAAAGAATTTCCTGGTTCTTGTATTTGAATAGAGCTGTGGGGTCATAATTAGTGTCTATTTATCAGTCCACATTATACACTGCACACCCTAATTTACATCAACAATTATATTATCGTCCGTCTTGATTCTTGATTGTCTGTTATTTCAGAATGATTTAATCAATGCAACTTGTAATCGTTGACTTAGAATTTTATCAAGTATTCTGCTTAGTTCTTAGTCAGTATACATCTTTACTTGCCATTATTTGCCATTATTTGGAGCCAAATTTGGCCTGGAAAGCAGAATTTGATCAAACGTTAGTTATAAATCTCACCAAAGCAAAACTAGACATGTCGAACTTATTTATGTTTATAATGTCCAAGCTATATATAGCTCTCGATAAGTTAGTATTTCAGATATTAAAGATACAATACGTGAAATTAGAATCTCGCGTTTCACATTTATGACACAGTGAATGCTGTATGCCGCGCCCAATTTGCTTTCTATTGATACGTAGTGCATGCGATATTAATGTGTTTTCCGCCTATGGGTCTTGTACTTATGTGTCTAGAATATTCCGCCGCGAGCGCGTTTGATACGTAATTACATCCTGCAAATCAATTGATGTGAGGTGATTCTAATACTTTATTTCTATTAGATATTTTTAGAGTCATTAAAACTGTAGATGCAATATAATGTATAGAACATCCGTTTAAGTGTTGATTATACATCACAGTCCTTATCGTATAATCTGTATCTGCGATAAGGTGAAAGAATTTCCTGGTTCTTGTATTTGAATAGAGCTGTGGGGTCATAATTAGTGTCTATTTATCAGTCCACATTATACACTACACTCCCTAATTTACATCAACAATATTATCGTCCGTCTTGATTCTTGATTGTCTGTTATTTCAGAATGATTTAATCAATGCAACTTGTAATCGTTGACTTAGAATTTTATCAAGTATTCTGCTTAGTTCTTAGTCAGTATTCATCTTTACTTGCCATTATTTGCCATTATCTGCTTCGAGCTAGAAATTATCTGAACTGGAAATTATCAGAACATTTGTAATATTCAAATGTATCTCTTCAACATTTTAGAACGCAGTACTCCACCAGCCTATAACCACCCTGGTCATGGCCAGGTAGTTCACCCGTACTGTTACCAATATTGAATTGGTCTAATGAATGGCAGCACATTAATCATCGGACCTGTTTGCCACAGTGCCCAGACTAATTTATAACCAGATTAGCTGATTAAGTTACGTCATTCGTCCCTTGATATATTTATATAAATAATATATTTTATAGGATGTTTTTATTGCACTTATTTGCACTAACTAAAATTCAGTTAAAACTAGTCCTGGGATAGAATTTCCGCTCTTTATTGTACAGAATCTACATATAAGTCTCTTTAATCTTTATCAGTCTGTTTATAGATCAGCCACGAATTTCGCAAGCTAATCTAGGCGAAACCGGTTTGGAAAAGCCAAGTATAATTTCTGCACAATTTCTATATATGGAATATGGCTCAAAGAAGGGATCAGAGGGGGTTAAAATTGAGGTCTGAAATGGCTGAAATCTGGCTTTGTTTTGTATGTTTTCTTCGTTCGAATTAATCAAACATCGTCTAGTGTTTACTATTTTTTGTGAGGGTGACTGTAGTTTGTTCTGACACTTCCTTTTTAATTTCGAGTAAGCGATTAAGGAAATTAATTATCCTGATTGATTGTATCGCTGACAAGTACCAAAACTTTGTGAAACTTTCAAGTCTGCTTGTAAACTTTGATCTCGTTTTCAATAACCTTAAGTCACTTAAAGCTCGTACAAGCCAGGGAGTTTTTACTTTGTTTCATCATCCGAAGCCTAATTAGGCTTTGAACTGTAAAGTGCAATAAAAAGGGAACAGCTTGAAAAAGTTTTACAACAAAAAATTGTATTTTGCTTGACGCATCTCAAACACAAGGAAATATTTTCAAAACTAGGTATAAATTTAAATTTTTCCATATCCTGGAAAGTTTACCTGATCATTGCATTAACGGTCATAGACTACTTGAGGTTGTTGATTTAAATCTTTATTTAAATCAGTACCTCGCAGTAGTAGAACAGTTGTTGAGAGTGGGCTCCTTGTTCCTATGGGAATATCGGACTCTCTCTGAGCAACTGATTGATATTTCATGCCCCCGGGTGAGAGCCAGTGCTCCCCATCGGGGCATGTAATATCAATTCTGCTTTCCTGCCAAATTTGGCTCGAAAGTGTGATAATATGTTTTATTATATTATATTATGTTATATTATGTTATATTATACGTATCCTATCACCTCCACCACCCCTAGGTTCCCAATAAACGACTACCACAGTGTCCTCCACCTCTCCCTGTGTGACGAGGAGGATCTGGTGAATGATGTGCTAGTTGGCAGAATTGCTATCCCTCTCTTTAACTGCAGAGGACTTAAAAAGTACATATTGAAGGACGCGAAACTAACTGGTGTTGGTGAGTGGTCTTTCAATGTATGATTTGATAAAAGTGCTAGAGGTCGCACTGTTTTATAACAAAGCAGCCTAACTTTAATTGTGTAACGACTCCCAAGTAAGCCCGAGTAAGAGTCCAGAACACTTTTGCTCTAACATAGATATTACTAGTTTCCCCAATCATATAGTACAGTCAATTCCTGTTTACTTGTGCCTGCCCTAACCAGTTTGAGCTTTTTCAAGCCTAAACATTCTTTGTCATTGTTTTTATACAAGTTCATTGCTGTATAATTCTGTATTATTTGATGAAAGTTTCAAATGAAACTAGGTAAAGGTGAGCTGATTATAGAGACAGCAGTTTTCTACAACCCCATCAGAGCAGCAGTTAGAACCTTCTCTCCGAAGGAAGAGAAGATAATGAAAGATCCAACAAAGTTTGACATTTCCTTATTACAGAGAGATGTTAAGAGAATTACTGCTCAGGTAAGGATGGGACTATACTCAGAAATTAAATCCCACAAAAATAGATTTATTTTAGTGGTATCTCTTGATTGCAAGTTAAACAATAAATGTTGAAAGTACTAAACTAACCAAATATGTACGTTATTGACCAACTTTAAAAAACGGGTTCATCACAGTTGGAGATGGTTCAAGATATGGGTGAGGGGTTGGATCAGATCATCCGTTGGAGAAATAAACCCCTATCTTTCGTCTCCATGATAATATTCGTCCTTGTCACCTACTACATCGAGCTTTGGATGGTTCCCCTTGCGATTGGGCTTTTGCTCTTATACAGCGTAAGTTGTCAGAAGAAAGCAGTTGATTTTTATTTAAACTAACTGCAGCCCATGCTTTAATATGTTTGTTCGTTTGTATTAATATTAACAAGCATTAAAGCCTGGTAGCCGAACAAACATTTCAGCACGTAGCACAAAGATGTGGTGTCAAAAAGAAAGAGACCTGGGTTAGAAACAACGTGAACAGAGCCTACTACGAGGTTACAAGAGAGACAGAGGGCGAATCGACGGGGTTCAGCGCAAAGCTTGACAAAATGAAAACAGTCTTCACAACCGCTGAAGGCATTCAAAAAGGCTTAGATTTTGCGGCGAGTATTGGAGAAAAGTTTGGTCACATAGGTCAGTGGAAGAACCAGTTTGTGTCAGCGATGTGCTGTGTGATACTGATATCAGCTGGCTGTCTGCTGTACTATGTGAGCCCCCGGTATATGATCATAGTGTGGGGTCTGAACAAGTTTAGGAAGTTCTACTTCCAACCCAACCTAGTGGATAATAACGAGATGGTGGACTTGTTGTCCAGGATTCCCTCATTCCCTGAGATTGAGCAATATAGACAAATCAGAAGTCGGGGGTCTGGTGCCCGACCTAGGAGCGCTGCAGGTTCTTCTCGTGAGCTCAACAAAGCAGATTGAAGAAGGGTCCACTATCATTAAGACTTTAAGAGTTCTTATTTTGAATTTTAGAGGATGTGAAATTCAACAAGACCACTGTTGGTACATGTGAACGTCACCACAGAAAAACATTACCAATACTAAAATCTTTGTAATTACTTCTTAAATCTGCCAAAATAATGCCGAACTGCCGAGCATGATAAATATAAACCAACGTGGCACTAATTGTGCGAAGAGCCAGTATTCTATTATTGTTTCTGCTACTTTCTGCTTGCATAGCGCAGTAGCAACTAATTTCAGTGCTATTTTTGAGTTTGATCAGGACTTAAAACATTTTGAAATGGTAATAAACAATTTGTAAGTAAATTCATTCGCATATCTTTAAAGATTACTTTTTGTAAGACCTTTAAGTATAAAGCGACTTTAATTAAATTGCAAGTAAACAAGTGCATTTAATCATCGGGACAACAGCATTGGTGAAATTAAATGCAGTGTAATAAATGAACTGTTGATTTTCCTAATTTTTGATACTGCAATTCAATTTTTACTGGTGTTAATTTATTTTGACTTTTCTTAACAAATTAGCTGTATTTCTATGGCAAGAAGGGTATGTAGTTTCAATTGCATTTGTAGAATTGTTTATAATATGTTCTTTATTTTCAGAATCATATTTATGTAGTTGTTCAGAAATGCTTTTAGTACATTAGCAAGAAATTGCATGTTTTATTTGCATTGTTCACGAGTTCACTTTAATAGAGCAAACAAATTTAACCGATAGAGTAATTTCGGGTTCTGACTCTGACTCTGACTCTGACTCTGACTCTGACTCTGACTCTGACTCTGACTCTGACTCTGACTCTGACTCTGACTCTGACTCTGACTCTGACTCTGACTCTGACTCTGACTCTGACTCTGACTCTGACTCTGACTCTGACTCTGACTCTGACTCTGACTCTGACTCTGACTCTGACTCTGACTCTGACTCTGACTCTGACTCTGACTCTGACTCTGACTCTGACTCTGACTCTGACTCTGACTCTGACTCTGACTCTGACTCTGACTCTGACTCTGACTCTGACTCTGACTCTGACTCTGACTCTGACTCTGACTCTGACTCTGACTCTTCTGACCTGTTCCATTCCAGTATCTGTATATGAGATACGGACGAGGTCAATGGGAGACCTACGTACACAGCACAGTTATTAACCCTTACTACTTACGTTCTGGACGAGGTTTGTGATTTATACTGGTTCATAATAAGATCCAGTCATTTTAATACTGGCTCATAATCACATCCTTTCAGTTTCATTTTGATCGCTTCCTGTGTACCGGATTCAGGATTATGTAATTTTTCCGCGCTCCATGACTCAAGTGCCACAGGCACAAGAGCTTTAAAGACAAGTTGAAGTAAAGTTAGCGTCAGCGAAGGGTTAGCAAACTAGGCTTTTTTGTTTTATTTATGGTAGCTGGCGTCCGTCGCCCGTCGTCTATACTAGTCCGTGCGTTCCTGCGCGCACTTTAATCTTACTGGGCGGCGCTCAGCCTGTCATTCCGCCGTTCATGAACATAATAGCCTGGGGTCCCCAGGTAAACTTTGATCACACGGTTGTCGCTGGCCCGTTTAGTGAGAGCACGTTTTTTGATTTCTGTAAGGGACTTGTAGGGGATTTCCCAATTGTTATGTGGGGGATATGTGTTCCCGGGTAGGTGGAACATGTTTTAATGGTTAAATAGGTAATAATGAATAAGGTACTGGTAGTACTTGTCCAAAATGATCATAAAAACCGATAAGTTCGACCTCTTGACCCTCTCAGGCCACTTCCAGAGGCCACGCCCATCCCAAAATTACTGAAATCTAGGTCAAATCAAGACTGAGAATTTTTATTCCTGTAGGGGATTTATATGTTTCCGGGTATTTGGAATATGTTTAGGTGGTTTGATAGTTATTATTGTTTGGTAGTTTTTATTAGTACTTATTAAGTCCCAAACCATCAGAAAAACCGAGTTATGACCTTTTGACCCTCACCCACTCAGGCCACTCACAGGGACAATGCACTATTTAAAATAGCTGAAATCCATTTCAAATCTTTCTGTACGTTTCATGCTATTGCTACCCTGATCATTATGGGCCGTAAATATGAGGGAGTAAAGATTCTCAGTCTGGATTTGTAGAGAATTTGACACAGATTTCCGCTGTTTGGGATGGGCGTGGCCCTTGGTAGTGGCCTGAGATCAGAGGGTCAAGTTGTCGAAACTCGGGTTTTCTGATGGTTTGACTTTGAGACGCTTCTCATGCTTCAATAATATAATTAACTTAATTGCATTAATATACTTTTAGTGTAATTAGTGTAATTTCCAGTAAGGTTATCTGGCTTGATGTTATTGTTACCCTAGGTCATAGGTAGTCCAAATAAATGTTTCAGGAGAAGGAAACGCGGATATCAACGAGGGAGACATGTCGTTAACACAGAGATTTGAGTACATGTATCAACTAGCTGGAACAGGACAGGTTATCATTGCATTAGTATTATTATTTGGAAAACTCCCAACTTCTTTTATTCAGAAAACAATTTATTATTAAAACAATGCATTATAAGTATAACAGATCGACTGTTTATAACCGCACAAGTGGATTTCCACAATCAATAGCTCATGGAGTGTTGTATAGTCAGCACTCAGCACTCAGCACTCAGCATGAGAGTATTGAGTCGTAAATGCAGTACTGCTAGTGCTACCAGTACTGATATTACGGTAAGTATCACTATTAATACTATTATCTAAAATACGGAGGAATTGTCGGACTCTTTGTGTCCAGGACTATGTTTTTATAACAATAGTTTTATGTTTCATTTCAAGACATTTATAACACTGATATTTACCATACCACGTACCTTCTCTAGCCTAAACTCTATTTCAATCATAACTTTAACCAGCCACTAATTACGATCACGTGATTAGAGGCTACGTGATCACTACATTACAAAATAAGTAACGTCAATAAATTAATAAAAAAACAGTATTCTTTTAGTGCCCCCGAACAACACATATAGTTGTATGTGATATATCCCCACCCCCCCCCCCCCGTTGTTGTACATTGTATGTGATAGCTCAATTATTGAAGTATTGAGGTATTATACCTGCAACTAATTTTTTTCAGGACAAACGTAATTCGAATGGCCAAACATAATTCAATAAGATTTAGCTCGATGCTACTATCCAAACTATCAAATAAATGCGAAAATCATGTACCTTCATTTGAATAAGCAAATGAACACGAATATTTTTCGATTTGACAAACTCCTCGAACCAGTGGTGGTAGTAAGTCATTCCAAAAAGAATTATTTCAATTGGGCACTCAGTGACTGAGTTATCAAGGCCAACGTTTGCAGTTTGTACACTGACTTTTTGCCCCCCCCCCCCCCACCCTGTATTGTAAAACATTATCCACATAACGTAAAACTATCTGGAATTAAATTATGATATTATGTAAATCTGAGGCCAAGAATTTTCGATAATGTAATACAATTATGGTAATTTCATCATTATAAAAGTCAATAAGATTATTTAGGCTTTTAGAACATTTGAATGACATAGCAAATTGAACTTGTCAAGTTGTTGCAATAATTTTACTATCAAGAGTGTCTGCAAGGTTTTAAAGCATAATTCAGATATTTGACCGCAATTTTCAATTACGTAAAATCTAAACCCACCTTGTTTCAGAAATCTTTGGATTTCATAACGCTAATGTAACTCACATAATTTCAGAAAGTGCTTGTTTTGATAATGCTAATGTAACTCCGATAATTTCAGCAATCACTCGATTCCATAGCTTCTTTAGCAGAGAAGTTCAAAAACATTGCTCAGTGGAAGAACCCTTTTGGCAGCGGTTTATTGGCCGTCCTCATGATTGCTGCTTCCGTGGCACTGTATTTTATTCCTGTACGCTACATCATCATAGGTTAGAGACTGCGAGAGACAGAGGGACAGAGGGACAGAGGGACAGAGGGACAGAGGGACAGAGGGACAGAGGGACAGAGGGACAGAGGGACAGAGGGACAGAGGGACAGAGGGACAGAGGGACAGAGGGACAGAGGGACAGAGGGACAGAGGGACAGAGGGACAGAGGGACAGAGGGACAGAGGGACAGAGGGACAGAGGGACAGAGGGACAGAGGGACAGAGGGACAGAGGGACAGAGGGACAGAGGGACAGAGGGACAGAGGGACAGAGGGACAGAGGGACAGAGGGACAGAGGGACAGAGGGACAGAGGGACAGAGGGACAGAGGGACAGAGGGACAGAGGGACAGAGGGACAGAGGGACAGAGGGACAGAGGGACAGAGGGAAAGAGGGACAGAGGGACAGAGGGAAAGAGGGACAGAAGGACTGACGGACTGATTGTAATTCCATTTTTCATATATTATTTTGATTCATCTTTTGTTAAATTGCTCATGTTTCGCAGGATGGGGTATTAACAAATTCCGTAAGTTTAGCATGGATCCGAATCTGATCGACAATATGGAGGTGGAGGACTTCTTAAGTAGGATCCCCTCTGATCCTGAGTTGGAAGGCTTGAAAGAACCATCCCGCCACCAGAAACGATCGTGAGGAGGTTATAATGTAGACATATCTTCTGAGCAGGCATCTTCTCTTTTCGTTGTGTAATTGTTTAACAGAAACAGTTTATGTCGGGAATTTGTTACTTTACGGTCTGTGCCTAGAGAAGAAAAATAGAACAAGGAACAGTTGTGTTTGTCAATTGTTTCAAACAAGTTTCATTTCAGTACTTCAGTTGGATCGAATGTGAAATAATGATATAAATATTGGCGTGAATTGAAAAATTTTCACTACATCAGATCTACTAATTTTACTAACTAGCTAACAGGAGCCCCTCATCCAACATACACATACATTGCCTTTTTCCAGATATTTAAGAAAATGTTGTCCTACCAAGTGCCAGCAAACAAGTGCTGCCATGTATATGTCATCAAGTACTTCGCTACTAAACTGGGTAACGATCACAACCCGACATCCTAATCTTAATCTTAGCATAGTTTTAACTTTTAAGGTTTCGCATTAATTTTATAAGCTTCTACAAACACAGACTGCAGATTTGAGGAATGCAATTTTGGTTGTATTACGTCAAACTGCCTTAGTCTACGTAGTATAAAAATAGCATTATACCGCAGCCAAGTATCCACCCTATGCTATGGAATTTGGACCTTA